GGGGCGCTCTAAGATAAATACAGACCATGCCAGACCTTTTTGCAAGCCACATCATACAAGGGCGCGCCTTCAGTGGAAATGCCTTGAGTAAATCTACCCCTTACCTTTCAACACCAGATTGGTATACAATTAAGCGTGGCCCACCAAATCCCATCTAAAAGAGGCCCTGAAAGGCCCTAAAAGGCCCTTAGGATCCACTAAACTTGACATACCCGCAGCCCTAAACCCTACGCCCTAAGCCCCAAACCTTGAACCTAAACTACAAATCCGAGCCTTCAACCTGACACCACCTACCCTCAACACCCCAAAGCTGCCAAATCCTTCCCCCAAACTCAAAACGGGTTTAGGGTTTAGGGCTGCAGAAGCCCTCCCTAAATCCTCTAAACCCTAAACATTCAACACGCAGCAATCCAGAAATGCATTCAGGAGTGGTACCTCGCATCCGTGAGCCACTTGTTGGAAGATCCCAAGGTTCCGCTTGGGGACCGATGGGTGCTCCTGCTAACTGGTTCTGCCCACTCGGCGTAGGGTTCAGGGTTTAGTCCGTGAGGGTTTGAGGATTTAACAGGCCAATGCGAGGGTTCCTTGCATGCGAGAAATCCTGCTTTGCATCGTGATGACTACGAGCGACCCCTACACGGACACCCTACTTTTGAGGATCTTCGCCAGAACTCTAGCAGCTTAGCGCTAAACCCGGACCCCGTGTTTGAAAACACTGCAGTTAGCCAGACCGCCGACGACGATGGGGACTATTTCGTAGCCTGGCTACGAGAGTGTCACCGCGAGGCGCAGTCGGAATTGAAGCGGTTCTGAAAGTTATGTTTTCGGGCTAGAAGAGCTTGAAGGGTTGGGTAGGGACGGAGATTGTAGGGCTTGGGGCGCAAGATTTCTGGCAAATTGTTTGTCTCTGTGTGTGTGTGTGTGTTTTTTTTTCAGGTCTACCGGCAGGGATTGGAAATCCAGTGTGTGGTATGTGGGGATATTTCAAAGCTGTGGATCAGTTATGCAAATGTGCGTGTTTGAGTTGGGTACAGAAGGGCCCCTAGTTCTGATCAATGTAACGTTTGGGACAGGGAGAATGTCGGACAAATATTTTCCTATACCTACGAGAGACCTAGGCCGGGGCTTTATGATCCAGACTCCATGATGGACACATGAGCTGCAGTCTAAACTCCATAAATAGAATTAAATAGGGAAGTATTATACTGGTAGGGGTTATTAAGGGGGATACTAGGAGTTTAGACTATAGCTCACATGGATAATGTTGGCTTGAAGTTGGGAAGGGATGGTTTGCCTTGCGAAGCTTGTGGCAAGGTGTACGACGATGTCGACAGGACTGCCGCTCGTGCTCACTGTTAGCAAGCCTCAAGTAGCAGGGGAGCAAGCTTTCGCATTTCTTGTCAGCATGCTGGTCCTTGCGAGCGAGAGGGCAATCATATGTAGATCACTTTTGTCTGGCAGGAACAGTGCTTCATCTCCTCGAGCAGTCACAAGTATGTCATACATGTAGCCTGAATGCACACACCTGCCGTGCGACTTGGTGTGGATGCGCAGGGCTGATCCGAAAGAGCTGCGCAGCATGAAGAAAGTCAGGAGCCGCAATGAGTGTCAGACCGCTTAGGTTTAGAATCACGCTTTTGCTGCAACGCAAGCACTTCAGACCTCTGAACTTTAGAGCACTCCCCCCCTGATATAGCCAAACCCTGACCTTGCTGAATTGCAGGGCTTTCAGAATGAAATTCGTGCACACGGCTTTGCAAAGCAGTCATGATATCACAAAGTCCGAAGGTTTCCAGGACTGTGTCGTGCCTCAAGACTGCTGGCTGTTCGTGGGGCTAAAACATGTTTAAGGTACTCTTCTAGAATAACTCTACCTTTTTTCAACCTGTGACAAAGTCTCATTCAATCTTTTTAGGCCCCTAAGCCCAACTGATCCCAAAAGCTGAGCCCGGAACCTTGGACTTGCGTCGTCTTTGTGAATATCCCTATAGATTCATTATACTGAGGCTCCCCATAGTGGGCTTCCTATTGTCCTACGGGTGTGTGTATAAATTGCTCCCATTTGACCCTAAACCCTAAACCCCTTTAATCTGAACCCCAAACCGCTTTCGGCCAAGGCCTTTTCCGACTCCATCTAAGGAAGGATCTCATGGTAGGTTTGTATGCCCAAGCACTTTGCACAATTCACAGCATCTGCGTACGCGTGAGCATAGTGTGTTATGATCCGTATTTACTTCCTACACAACCCATTTTTCCGATGTATCTGACATCCGTATGTAATCTCCTTGGGTAGACTTGAAACAATAGTAAAAATGGTACATGAAGGAAGGCCATCTCTCCAAGTCTACAGTCGAATTGCCTGAGGATGGTTTCGCCTAATTGGCTGGCTGAATGTCTTGCACGCATGCATTTCTCTTCATCCTAGACCCTAAACACTAAACCCTAAAACCCCTAAACCTTTTCATAGACCCCAAATCCTGAACCCTAAGCCGGAGGAGCACCAAGGACAAGTCCAAACGACACAACCTCGCAAATATCCGCATTCCCAATATGGAGGCGCTGTTGCTTAGTACTTGGAATAGTATTAGGAATAGTAGTAGGAATAGCAATAGTGCTAGTAACACTAATAGCGTTATAAAACAACAGTCATAGTAAACATGGGTCATGATCTGATTTTGGAGTCGTTGTTGGATGCTGACCGCTATGGGTGTCGGGGAGTCATCTGGAAGCGAATGCTCACTACATGGGAAGCTTCCCTTTTAGTCTTGATAGGATAGGTATCGTCTGAAACATATTTCGAAATCCTAGTGTGAACCTACTTAATGTGACTTGCAAGCAGTATATGGTCCACGCTGCCAAGGAGCTTCCATTCACAGCTCTACCCATGGGGGAACAAAGAAGAAACCTTCGTACCGGGCTGAGGTGTAGGGGAGATTTAGGGTTTAGGGATTAGAGTTTAGGGCTTTGGGTTTGGATTCAATGTTTATGGTTGAGGGTTGGGGTGTTCCAGGCCACCCCATGTCACTCTGGATCGTAGCGTTGAGGCTCGAGACACGCACCGTTTGGATCTTTCCCATCTTTTCTCAATCCCTACAAATCCCTGCTAAACCAGTGATGTCCCCTACTTTTGATATTACACCTCCTGCGTGACTTGCAGTATAATGCAATGTATTGAGTACTTAGAGTCATGCAGGATTTTTCGAATCCACCATAGGCCCCTGAACCTTAAACTTCAAAAAGCCAAGCGCCCGAACGAACCAGCCCTGGCAGGAAGCCTTCCGAGAGCTTGGGGACTTCGACCCGAAGTGGGGCCCTCTGCTGGAGAGTGTCTGGAGGTTGGGGAGATATGGGGACTTTTGGTCCAGGCTTAACTTTAGGGTTTAAGGCCTGGGGACCAGTGGGGTCTAAGGATCACAGAGGCTTTTTGTGCTTCAGGCTATCACCATCCGAGGTGGGGTGTTGATCCTTGCTCTAAAGCTGTGCGACTTAAATTTGTCCCTGGTAGCCAGGTGTCAAACGTAAGGTCTGACTGGGATATTGCCCCCCACTCAGTAGCAGTTGGATAGTGTGTGTATATGTATGTATATATATATACATATGGGGTAGTTTCCCGGCAATATTGGGAGAATAGAAAAAGAAGATGGAAACTATTATACTGGGGTTATATAGGGTTTAGGGTTCAGGGTTACCGGTCTGGCCCGAAAAGGGAGCTCCACGCAGTTTTGACACCCCCGGAGAAAATGCCATTGTCATGCTAACTTGAATGCGCACAACCAGGTCAAGCCCCAAAGGCATATATGAGCCAGAATCTCCTTAAAGGGTGTTACAAAAGGGATTATACACGGGACTATTATACGGATCATCAAGGGGGATGCTAGGAGTTTAGACTATGGCTCATATGAAATCCCCAACATGACTTTGGTTTTGAGAGACGCGCAGACGGCATCCTAGGAAGGGCAGCAGCCGGAGACAGCGCGTTGCGGCCCAAGTTATGCACGGAAAGGGTCTGAAGCTGTCCAGCGATGGAAAGGTTCAGGGCTTCTGAATGTTAATAGCATGCCTTCATACTCCTCTTATGCCCTGTCAGAGGTCACTCTAAGGAAGAACCTCCAACTACGGTTCAGAGCTCTGCGTGCGCGTGTTCCAGTTTCAGAATGACACTGCTGATTCAACCTGTGTGAAGCTGTTCACTCTCCATATATTGGGTGTAGGCTGATTTTGGAGTTGAGGGTAAAGGCGAGCTCTTTGTCAAGGGCTGGCATGCTTACCACAAAAGGCGCAAAGTCGACAGCGCATCGTGTCGACTGCTGTTCCGAGTAAGCCTTGGACTGGCAAAAGCCTGTCACGCTGGATCAATATGGTAGTTTCCCAAAATAAGGGGACCCCAATATAGCCCCCAAAGTACTATAGTCCTTATTATTGGTACCTCTAAAAATGGTAGCCCTAATTTTGGGAAACTCCCATATTCTGAGAGCATGTCATCAGCCCATGGAGTTGATGACAATTTCTCAGTTAGTGACGCATGAGCACTTCCTTAGCTCATCTTCGCAATGTTGTGAAGCCATTTCCTCTCTATGTCCTTCAGCAAGCCAGCAGGACACCCCATTTCAACTCCTACAGTCGCACCCACTTCAATCCTTCCGCGCTTTTGTTTTCATTCAGCTTCTCTGTGCAATGCTTTGTGCCGGCAAAGCTCCCGCGGCCCCTGGCTGTACTGGATGGAGGCCTCCTGCTGGTCTTCGGCCGCCAACGCACCCTCAACGTGCCTTCGTGTCTTGTCTAGGGTCAGCGGCATGGTGGTGTTGAGGGTTTCCCAAGAGTCTTACGGTGAGCAGCGTTTGTGTTCTAATCTTTCAAGGCTAGGGCACCTCTTCATGAGTTTCTTGACGCCAGCTGAGGATGGCATCCTGCATTTGAAGGCTGGGCTGGTGCCGCTGGCCGTTGGGACCGGCGTAGGCATTCGGTCGCAGCGTCAGAGAACTCGGCAAGCCAGACGGGCGATGCAGTACAGCGACGATCTTGTGCTCGGCGGCCGTCCTGCTTCTATCTGGCTGCCTGGGGAGGGCGCTCTCGGAACACGCATGTCAGCATACCCATATGCTTTCAGCTCGCGCAAGTTGTCGAGAAGTGTTTTGGGACTGCCACTCGGTTCGGGCCCGGTGGTTGTTGACGTGCCAGCACCCGGCGAGCTTATCCGCTGTGAGATTCCTACGGCTGTTACCGCTCGTGCTGCCGTCCTCGTCCACGGTCTGCTTTGCTCGCGCCTAGATTTGGCGCATGTTGCTGAAGCACTTGTAGCCAAAGGTTTCACAGTGGTGGCTCCAGAGATGGACGATTCTGTCAGCCATGAGGAAGCTGTGTCGCCTGGTGGCTTTGTGGGTGAGCTGTTGAACCGCGAGGCCGGCGAGGTCCAGCGTTGCGAGGTCGTCCGCAAGGCCGTGGCCTGGCTTCGAGAGCGGGGTGCTGAGCAGATCGGACTTGTGGGGCACTCCCGGGGTGGAGTGACCATCTCCCAGCTGGACGGAGACTTCTGCCGAGTCAACATCGCAGGCTTCCAGCCACCTCCGGTCAATCCCGAGGAGACCTTCTCTCTTTCGGCGCGCCGTGCGCCTATGCTCATCATCTGCGGGCAAGATGATGAGGTGTGCACGCGGCCGCCGCTTTCCATGGAATATGTGCAGGACACGGTTAAGAGACTGCTGCCAGAGGCACAGACCTGGTTGCCTGGATATGACTTTGAGCACAACTTTGGAGAGTTTCTTCTGTTTTGCTTGGAAACTGAGTTCCTTGCATATAGGGGCTTCTCCAAATAGGACCGGCCTTCTTTGCATCAAAATGGCTATAAGCACCCTAAACCCCTAAGCCCTGAACCCCGCTTGCAAAACAGCTGAGGTATCCTGCAGGCGTGGGCCACTTCTCTGTCCTGAACCCCGGCGTGGTAGCTGTTTGGCAGCCACTTCTGGGGCTTGCGGGCTTCCTGGCTCCCGAGCCTGCGGGGACCCTGGGGTAGATTTGAAAAAAATGTTTTGAATAAGCACTTACCTGACTGTATCAGGTATTAGTACATCAATTAACAGCAGTTTCTGCTTCTTGAAGAACGCATGGATTTTGGCTAGGCCGGAGCTCTCGCAAGCAGTGGCCGAGCGCGTGGCGGCGTTCCTGGATGATTGCGGGATTTCTCTAATATTTACGGGTCGCATTTAAGGGGTCCTTATGTGAGTATCTGGTTTTGCAGGTAGATACTGTGGACCCTGGCTTTGGGAGCACAAGTTCAGATTCTGGCGTACCCGAACTGGATTCCAATACGGACCAGAAATCATGTTCTTTGATTTTCTAGTGGCTTGGTGAAAGACCGAGGTTCCTCGACACAGAGATGCCTCCGACTTCGACAAACAAGCTCATGGGATCGTGAAGGCGAAGCTACCCTGGAAGGTTTGGAGTCTTCATGAACTGGTAAGTCCTCGAGCTCAAGCCCTGAAGCATCTGGAGAAGCACAAGTCAGTTGGACAAGCAGAAGGGCTGCATTTCTGAAGTGAGCCCAAGATGGAAGCCCTCCCGAGCCATGCGTACAACAAGGGGGAGCTCTTCTCCAAAGTTCGGTCTTGTGGCCATTTACTGGGGTGCTGTTAAGGAACTTGAATTAAGTTACCATAACGGATATGTATAGTTCCTTAACAGCAGTCCAGTTTAAGCTGCAGTGGAGTCAAAGCGCTTCCAAGTGCTTCTTGGAAAGCCCGCCTCAGCTCAAAGTTGGGCGAAACCCTACCTTTACCAAAATAGCTTAGAGTATTTTGTAGTATACTATAGTATATTCCAGTATACTCTAATATATTACAGTATACTTTAACATATTACAGTATACTTTAATATATTATAGTATACTATCGTATATTTTAGTATACTATAATGTACTATAGTGTATTATGCCTGAGGTCCTGGCCAAGATCCTCATTGATGCGTTTCAGCTTCGCCTCGTGGACCCGGGGGGGGTTGGTTTCGGGCGCAGGGAGTTGAGGAGGAGGGCTTAGGGTTACAGGGTTTAGGGTTTAGGGTTTGGGATGTTGGTTGCAGGTTTGGAAGTTGAGGACTTGGCTTTGGGGTTTAGGTGTGGGATTCCGGGCTGTCTCTTACCCACTGTGAGAAGGACCATCCCTTGCTTTTTTTTGAGCGCCGGGGTTAGAAATTAGGCCACGTCTCACAGCATTGCAGCAGAGTTTGCCCAAAACCCAAAACCCTACACCCCAAACCCAAAACCCTAAACCCTAAACGCAAACCCCAAACCCTAAACCTGCACCATTCCAACTTCAACCTCTAGCTCTCAGTTGATAGCGGATGGTGCAATTAAGCTCCAAAACCTCAGTCACTCATGGGTTTCAGACCTCTATGCGAACAGTCATTGTTGCTGTTACCTCATTTGTCTTGCAATTCTGCTCCTCTTTTGCAGCTAGCATGCTTGTTTGCATGCATAAGCTACATGTCATTCACCGCTTCTGTAGTAGCTTATAGATAACCCCAGTGATATTGTAGCTTTCATTTTTTTTTCGATTTCTTCATTCCCTACCCACAACCCTAAACTCTAACCCTAAAACCCAGCAACCAGTAAGGGAATGACAGGATGGTCTCTTCCAGTCTTCCCACTCCTGCACTCCTCTTCTTGTTCCTTCTGCTTTTGCTGCGACTCATACAAGGACTACAATTCGTAATACTAATACAAGCAGTACCAGTGCTCCTTCAAGTTTTCTGCTTCTTATTACTATTGAGGATTAGTATTAGGGCCATTGCAAGTACTGTACTACTACAGCAATGGTTTTGATCGGGCCTCCACCCACATCAAATAGTGACAACAAGGGACCTTGGTCATTCTATAAGGGTCGAAGGTTCTATGTCCTTCTCTGTTTCATCCTCCATTGTTCCTTCATAATCCCTATGTAACTACCTAGGTAGGCTCGGGGTACAATGATATACTTGCATAACCCTACCACCCTGTCCCCTCAATCCTCAACCCTAAGCACCCCAAGCCTAGACCCTAAGCCCTAACCCCAAACCCCAAACCCTCAACCCTCAACCCCCGAACCCTGGAACCCAAGCTCGGAAGCCCTAAACCCTAAACCTTAAATTGGAGTTTCCCAAAATTAGGGGTACCATTTTGGGTGTCCCAATAAGAAAGACTATAGTATTTTGGGGTCTATATTGGGGTCCCCTTATTTTGGAAAACTACCAAAGCTTAACCGTGGTGGCACCGGTTTACGAGAATCTGTTCCTTGAGGACCTAGCCGCCATCCTCCGAGTAGCTGACTGCGTGCTGTCTGCCCGGGAAGCCGGGTGCCACGTTTCGGGTTTTAGGTTTCGGGTTTGGGCTGTTTGGCTTCTATTGTTGGGATTCCCAAGACAAAGTGGATCGTACGTAAGGCCCGTAGGTCTACCGGGGGTTAGTAGGGAAAATGGAACCTACTACATGATCATAGGTTCTATATTGGGGTTATACGGGGGTCATACAGGGATTATAATCCCTCATTCCCTGCTAGGCACCAGTAAGCAGGAGGCCCATAGATATGTTTTTGTCCAGGGTATATGTGGTTTAGCGTTTCTCAAAGCGCACGATTAGTTACGCGTGGGGTCACAAGCAGAGTATCAACAAAAGACGACAAAGTCATGGTGCCTTCATGGGGACTTGGCGTGTGAAAGGGTGTTGTGCTTTTTGATGCCTATGTTCCATGACGGTACAGACATTCATGCGCAGCATCAATGCTGGCCATCATGGTATATGCACCAAAGTCAATCAAATTGAAATCTGGGGACCCTAGCTCGCACAGTAAAGCTTGCTTCTCTCATGGCAGATCATTCCAGCACATCTTGGCGTTGTATGTGGGGGAGGGGGGATTCAATCTTGCGCTGGTGTATCAGTCTGCTACTTGCATGTTCGTGGGTTGTTGTAGGAAAGGTTAGAAGTACGATGACTACACTAATGACCTCAACAAGGATACTTCTAATGCCGCCTGCGTTCAGGTCAGAACTTGAAAAGTTCTGGCCAATTCTGTACCACTCTATCCCCGACAGAGTCGTCATCACTTCCATGAGCCTTGCAGTGCCATATCAGGATGAGGAGGTTGTGGTGGTCCTGTACGCTGGAGGCAGCGCAGTTCACGAAAAAATTTCATGCGGACGCTGAGAAAATCAGCCTCTCTCAGAGGATTCTTTGTTCTCTTTAGGCTGAATTAGCTTTTCCAACTTCATATAGATCCGGAAAAGAGACCTCGAATGTTGACGGTGTGTAAGTGCGGATAGGTCTTGCCTGAGACTCTCCACAGCATGCTGTGGCTTCATGAGAATTCAAAGGGCTTCGGCATTCCAGAGTCTCATTACACTCCCCCAAATGAATACGGAACCCAAAGGGAGCCCTACGAAGACTTTTGTGTAGGCATTAGATATTCTGGGGGATATCCTTTTTGAGGGTGGTGCTTGGTTACGCTGCGCTGCAGTTGTCCTATTGCGCAGAGATAATTTCTATGAGCATTTAGCTTAGTGCCCTTCCGAGTGCTCTGTGCGTCCTTTTCTTGTCAGTAAGGATTGGTCTTGCAGTTCAAAAGGCCTCGTCGCTTTGTCCTTTGCTTGCTAAGATTTAAAAGTCGAGGTTTTGGTGTTCTTCTGCTAGGGGTTTTCTCCTGGGGTCTAGATTAAGTTCCTAGCAGCTCTGTGGGGTGTAAAGCGCGGCTTCTGACCCTGCGTGGCCCACTTTCGGCTGCAAGAGCAGGTGTCACATCCCAGCACGGCACTTGGTATCCATTGAAACGAATGTCAGACAGTGGATAAGGTGAAGCCCTTCCAAAGACCAAAGCTAGATTGTAGTTTCCATTTTCTTTTCCATCATCCCAATATAACCCCAATATATACCCTAATAATCCCTATAATCCCTGTAGTTTCCATTTTCTTTTCCATTATCCCAATATAACCCCAATATAACCAGTTCAAGAAGCTAGCATCCCGGCTTCGTCGTGAGCCTCTAGACAGCTTACGGGGAAGCTTGACAGGACATGGAAAAAACAGCTTAGCAACAAGGCTTGTGGTTGTAATTGGGCATACTTGCAGATGGGGGTTGTTCTAAAGGTCCTTGTAAAGAAGGGGCCATTGGGAATACACTTCCTTAAAAGGGGATCCTAACCAAATAGGGAACCTACATTATGGTCATTTGGGGTTGTAACTAGGCACTCCTACTGCCTGGGCCAGGTGCCCATGCGCATTGCGTGGAGGAGTTCTGGAGGGCCCAGTCTTTCACGAGTGACGACCTGCCAAAGCGCGGTCTCGACGCTCGGCTTGAAGCATGGCTGCGACTGAGGGAAGTCTTCCATCCCCGCTAGCGAATCAGATCTTGTTGCGATGCAGGTATGCCAATATTGTTGCGCTAAGTAGAAGTGTTTGATTCGTAGAAGTGTTTGGTTCCTTTTGGAAATATCCTCCCCTTTCCAAGATAACTACAAGTTAGCAGGTCTCATGAGTGGGAGCCCGGAAAAGATAGGTTGTCTGCTAGAATTATGTCGCAGGCTCGCCAACCAGCCAACCAACCAACCCGCCCAGAGGAACCCCCAGCAAACAAAAAGATTAAACCCCATACTAAACCCAACATATCCCTATAAACACCCAGATGTAATTTCATCTTCCATTTGTTTCTCCTTGTCGTTTTCCTTCCCCTACCCAGACCCCCCCAAAGGATCCAACAAATGGAGCCTCCCAAAAACACCCTAGTTTCCCCAATGTAGTAATGGGGATCATTTTGGGAGGTTCCATCTTTTGGATCCTTTAGGGGGTCTGGGCTACTAACAACCAGCAAGCCGGACCAACAATCACGGCCTGACACGTCCCTCAGGCTCAGGGTTTACTAGGCGGCGCTCTGGGATAGTTATGAGTGTTCATAAGAGGACCTATGCATAAGTATCTTGGGGGCCTGTTAAAGTACCACCCAACCCGGTCTAGGAGTTTGGCTGCGTGATACATTTGAGGCGTTAAGGTTTGGTGTGTAACCCTTAACCCCAGACCATGTGAGCCATATTCTACACTCCTAGTATCCCCCTTAATAAGCCCTAAGTAGTCCCCCACAATCCCCTATGAAAGCCCCTTTAGGGAGTTCAGACATAGCCCATCAGATTGATGGTGTTTTCATGGCTCAGGTGGGCAAAGATGACTGGGAAGACGACGAACCTCGCGGATTGGTGCTGCCGAAATATTTGCACCCGTGTCTGCACAGTCATATGGGAGTTGCGCAGGCAGGTCTGTAATCTGTTCAATGAACATGAGCGTATCCCCTTAAGGGTGTTCGTACCTTGAGAAACTGTCATGTGGATTCCGAAAATTAGGGGGTCTTTGGGGATCCTCATGACAAGAATTATCATATTTTAGAGTCTATATTTGGAGTCACTAATTTTCATGGGAACTACCAGGTCATACGACTGTAATATGCTCCAAATTTTGGTGGTTGTGGTTACCAAAGCCCTCTTATCAAAGCCCACGCTGGAATTTAGAGAACTGCCTTTCCGGTACACCTGCTGAGCGGTTGGCTTCCTCACTCAGCACAACCCAACACACCCGGTGCTTACATGAGCCCTGCCATCAGGACATAGTTTAGTGTTTAGGGGTTTGGGGTTTAGGGTTGCGGTTGTGGCAACCCCAATATATACCCAATTATACTATAGCTTCCATTTTCTTTTCCATTATCCCTATAAAACCCCAATATAAACCCCATTATAGTACTGCTGCTTGAGATTGGAGCGAATGTGCTTAGGAGATTGGTCCTGTAAAGCTCTCCGAGCCTAAGCTTCTGGAAGGTGGAAACAAGGAGGGCCCCAAGACCCCACACAGGGATTGTAGGGAGATACGGGTACGCTCAAGGATTATGTGGGGACTGTTCTTGTACAATCACATATCCCAAAAGAAAATTATGCGGATTGTTTTGCCTGTTTGGGACCCCATAGAATTATAGGTCTAGAGTCCTACTTTGCGGAGTTGGGGCCCCTAAGCCCTTTAGGGTTTAGGGTTTAGGGCTTAGAGTCCTAATTTGCGCAGTGTTGGTTGCCAAAATCCCTTGAAGAGTCGGGACGCCCAGGATCTCGGCCCCTAGGATTCCTGCTTGTTGACATGGCCGTTGGGAGGGTTTACCTATAGAACCTCTGTGTTATCCCTAAACCCTAAACCCAAATCCTAAACCCTAAACCCAATAAAACCATATATTATCCCTAGGGTCAGCTGAAAGCCCCAAGCCCTATGCCTCCCCAAGCCTAGTCGGATCATCCCCGAGCCCTACACCTGCCATCAGACTTCTAAGGTTTATAGGGTTTAGGGTTTAGGGGTTTAAGGGTTTAGGGGTTTAGGGGTTTAGGGGTTTAGGGGTTTAGGGGTTTAGGGGTTAAGGGTTTAGGGTGTAACGTTTAGGACTTAAGGTTAAGTGTTTAGGACTTAAGGTTTAGGGTTTGGGTTTCGGGCTATGAAATCTTGAGTCTCCAGGCACCCCTTCAACAGATAGAAGATGTTAAGACACCATGCAAAATATTCTCAAGATTCGGAGCCATTACAGCTCAACATGACGGGTTGCCGTGAAGACACCCCAAAAAGGGACCCAAAGTCTCAGAAGCGCGCGTATTTCAGAATGTTCCTTTAACAGAGATGCCCACAACCTCTTGTAAGTCCTATATGGGGGTGTCCCAAAATTAGGGGTACCTTTTTGGGGGTTCCCATAATAAGGACTATATAGTATTTTGGGGTTCGTATTGGGGTCCCCTATTTAGGAAAACTATCCCATATCCCTAAAATGCCGAAAGCTAATTTGTTCTGAGAAGACGTCAAATCTCTGTACTGCACTGAGGCACGATTTTGACCTGCTCTTCCCCAAAGAGCAGGTTGAGGAAGCTGTGCCAGAGGGCGCAGATGAAGATGATGAAAGAAGTGCAGCATCGTATACAGGGGTTGCAGGGAAACTGAAGGCATAATATGTACTGAGCCCTGGTGCTGTTTTGAAGACGCTGTGCTAATGTCAGTCCTCAGAAATTGGGATACTGCTAACTAGCTACATTCCAGAGAGGGAGATGAAACAGACAAGAAGAGAGTTTCTGGAATCGGGACTAGGGATGCTGTCGAGGCTTGTCGTGCCAGGGGTTCTGACTGTAGCCCGCATGAAAATCACTGACCATTCTTTTGGCAGTCTCTGTGGGGTGCGTATTTCTTGGATCCGCTGCTTGCGCACATCATCCGGACCGCTCACCCTCCTCAATCCGAAGCTCCTCAACTATGCCCCCTTGCAAAGACGTAGGAACAACAGCACAATAATTTGATGATGATGATGATGATGATGAGGATGATGAGGATGACGCTGGTGTAGGTGGCGGCGGTGGCAGGGCCGACAATGACAACGGTGGCGGTGCTGAGGAGAAGCCGCAGCAGCGATGTCGGCAGTGACAGCAGCAGCGGCGGCAGCAGCAGATGATGGCTGATAGTTACAATGTCATACAAGCAATGCTAAAGGGACGTGATTTCCTCTTTGTGACGAGAAGCCAAAACTTCGCCGCCCGCAGCGCCCCCAAAGATTCTCAAGCAGCCCTCGTGCCTTCGATCACCTTGTACTTCTCGCAGCCATGCGTGAGCTCGTGCACGTCCAGGGTGGTCAGTGCACCCTGGCCTGCAAGAAGAATAGAGTTGCGAAAAAACAACACGCACACGCACAAACAGCTAGGATATCACCCGGGGTTCCTGGAAGAGTGCCGCTCTGTAAAACACGGAGCAAGGCGAACAGCCTGCGAACAGCCGAGATTTGTCTAAGAGGAGTCTGGGTTGCTGTTAAGGAACTTAAATTGAGTTACCATATTGGGGAAACCCCATTATT